AGAGATGATGAGTTTAAGGGACAATGCTCATGCTAGATATCGTAAAACTAAAGTCGAGAGTCACAAAAACTATTATAAGGATTTAAAAAGCATAGTGAATGTAGCGATCCACAATGAAAAGACTGCATATTTCAAACACAATGTTGGCAAACACTCTAAAAACCCACGTACACTGTGGAAAAGTATTAAGCGTTATGTAGATTTCAACAACAAAAAACATTCGGAACTGCCCGAGAACATTTCAGATCCTGATCATATTAACAGGCATTTTCTGGATCTACCGGTTTCCGTTAAACGAGACTATGCACAATTCCAACAATTTAATGTAAGTCGCTTTAGTAATAGTGTGTTTAATTTGAAGCCGGTGGATGAAACGGTAGTATCGGAGATTATTGGAAACATGAAATCAAATGCACAGGGTGTGGACGGTATTTCATTGAACATGATCTTGCTGACTCTGCCGCGAACCTTGAGCATCATCACTACTATTATCAATATGTCTATCACAAGTTGTACTTTTCCAGACCAATGGAAAGTATCAATTATCAAACCCCTCCATAAAGTAGATCATCCAACAGAGCTCAACGAACTTCGTCCGATTAGCATCTTGCCATTTATGTCAAAAATTTTGGAGAAGGTTGTGTGCGCCCAACTAATAGAATACTTGAACGCGAATAACATTCTGCCAAAAAGACAGTCTGGTTTCAGAACGGGTTTGAGCACGGCAACAGCGCTATTGGATGTCGTTGATGATATACTGGCAGGTCGAGATGCAGACAAAGGTACAATGCTTGTTTTGCTTGACTTCTCTCGCGCGTTCGACACAATCGACACTGATTTGCTTTTGGCCAAACTTAAATATTACGGTTTCAATGATTCTGCTGTTCGTTGGTTTTCAAGTTATCTGTCTGGTCGAAGTCAAATGGTTGAGGTTTTATCTAAGAGTGGCATAAAAAAGTACTCTGCGACTTCTCCTGTTTATCGTGGCGTACCACAAGGATCTATACTTGGGCCTATACTGTTCATTTTATATACTGCTGACCTACCAAGCTGTGTACTAAACTGTAATCATCACTTATACGCCGACGACTTACAAGTTTATAAATCATTTAAGCCTGTTGAGACTAATCTAGCGGTGAATGCAATTAACAGTGATCTAGATCGCATATTTCAGTGGTCGGTAAAGAACGGTTTGTTACTGAATCCAGTAAAGACTAAACTGATGGTCTTAGGCACGGAAACTCAAATAAAACAAATCAAAGCCCATAAACCTGTGTTGAAAGTAAAGTCTGATGCAATCGAACAAGTAAGTGAGGCTAGAAACTTGGGTGTTTTATTTGATTCTAACTTGAGATTTGAGAAGCATGTAACAGACACTGTCAAACAATGTTTTTATAGGCTAAGGGTGCTATATCAAATACGTAAGTATTTGAGTGTGGAATTGCGAATTCACCTCTGCGAGACACTAATATTATCTAAATTAAATTACGCAGACACTGTCATTGGAGATTGTCTTTTAACTAGATCAAAAATGCTTATACAGCGAGTTCAGAACGCCTGTGCCAGATACTGTTTTCCAATTCCCCGAAGAGCGCACGTGACACCCTATCTAAATAGAAGTGATATGCTAAATATGGAAAACCGTCGCAAAATGCATTTTGCGAGTTTGTTGTTTGGAGTTATACAATGTAAGCGCCCCATATACTTGTATGAGAAGCTGACTTTCTCTGAGCGTCCTTTGCGGATAACATCTCGTATGAGGTGTCCCGCACATAGAACTAGTGCGTTTCGAGGTAGTTTTCGTTATGCAGCGACCAAATGTTGGAATAACATTCCTCCTCCAATAAGGAACTCCAAAACGGTTTGCACTTTTAAAGTTAAATACAGGAAATATTTATTAGATGTGCAAAAGCTGCAATGAACTAACCTGAACCTAGAACACTATGGTTGATTTTGAGCACCATTTCATACGCTGTAAATTTTAATTTCATTTTTTTTTTTTTTCGGCTTTCATTTTGTTTCGCAATATTTATCCAATTGATTTCAGTAATTTGACATTTGTATTTAAATCTTTTATTCTTAATTTTATATTTAAATTATTATCGATGACCTTAAATGTCATTTAATTTAAGTAGGCTGCTGCTGAAAATCAGTGTCGTGGCACATGTTGCCTCGACATATACTGAGCAGTGACCTGTTTGGTACACAACCTTTATGTAACACAATAAGTTATTTTTGTAATTTGTGCCAAATAAACGTTTTATTATTATTATTAATATATATACTAGTCCCATTATCATCTTTTTTACGTTGCGGATCCCTAAAATAATAATTATCTAGACGACCTCCGCGATGGAGTACCTGTACGGCAGTTTTTAAGGAACCATCATTTCCGAAATTGGTCTCCGGCTGATTGAATATGGTAAGGTTATATATTTGTCTAGACTCTGGGTGTTAATGGTAATCTTCGATCAAAATAAAGCGAATAGCCGTTTTGAAACTTACAAATTTCAATCTGTTTTTGAAGTAGCTAGTATAGTGTCCGGAGATATCGATATTATTTGAAAGGGTCGACTAAAGTAAAAGAATGAAATTAAAATGGTATGGAATGAATGAATCCAAAGGACTACATCGAAACCGTGATCAAAACAGCTTCACGCAAACTCGGAGTCCTGAACAAGGTGCGGCGTTTTTTCACGCCCGATCAACTGTGCTTGTTGTACAAAACGCAAGTGCGGTCCTGCGTGGAATATTGCTCGCACCTCTGGGATGGCTCCGCTAAGTACTTACTCGACGATGCCTTGGATAGGTTGCAGCGGCATCATTGGCGATGAAGAGGTAACCAAGAAACTCGAGTCTCTACAATTACGCCGCGATGTGGCATCATTAAGCGCATTTTATCGTCTATACCACGGCGAGTGTTCTGAGGAGTTATTCTCCCTTATCCCTCCATCACCTTTTCTTCAGAGGACCACGCGCGCTGGCCTACGTTGCCACCGACTTACTGTGGCCACTATTCCTACACGAACAAAGAAATTTAGTGACTCATTTCTTTGTCGTACTATTCGTAAGTGGAATTCTTTACCCGCGCAAGTGTTCCCTCCTTCCTATAATCTGGGGTCCTTTAAGAGAGGCGTGAAGAAGCATTTTTGCAGGCCGGCAAGGTGAGGATGATTGGTGTAGCAGTTTATAACTGCTGTACCAGCTATCTTCGCGTTTGGACTTTATTACCACTTAACATCAGGTGGGGTCAAACAAAAAATGGTGGACATTTAAAGAATAGGGGATGGACCCCCAAATGTGGGTGTTTTTGTCGATAGAATTGGGTATGTTTGGTGCGTTTGAATTATCGCTGGGTCATGCCCAGACACACTGTATATGTATCTATGTTAATTCGTATATATTTTTAATATTATTTATTATGTCTATGTTTATATTTAGCTTTATACCGCCGTTCGCGTTTTTTTTCCCCTAAGATTGACTGGGAGACAATGCTATCAACATTAAGTACGCCTTTTGTACCATTCTTTTGTATTTTGGTCAGAAAGTTTAAAAGAAACAAATATGGTGTCACGTAGATGTGTACGTTCAAAGACAATTATTTACATAATTTTAGGATACCTGTGTGACTATCTAATACAATTAATGTATATATATAGTAACTATTAAATCACAATGACAAAATAAATATTACGAGAAGCAGCCCACAGCAGATTCTTCATATCATCATCATCATCATCAGCCTATTAATGTCCCCACTGCTGGGGCACAGGCCTTCTTTATGGATGGAATAGGGAGAATGGGCCATGATGACGTCGACCATTGCGAAAGTTGCTTAACTTCCACAACCGCAGGCCGAACGCGCTAAGCACCTGCACCATTAAGCTTTTCAATCTATTATTTATACAAGAAGTAAAAACAGCCCTTTCTGAGTTTCTTGTCGGCTTTTCTGAGTACAAAGTCTCATCGGAATTTGCGAACCGATAATGTAGTTTTTTTACTTTCGAGTGCTTGTTGCACAGGCCTTTCTTATGGATGGAATAGGGAGATTGGGCCATGATCTACCACGCGGGCCCAGTTCAGATTGGTGGATGCTAACGACTTCAGATGCAGCCGGGACCAACGACTTACCGTGCCTTCCGAAGCACGTTACAGCATAAACTAAATTTATTTAGTATTTTACCAAATTTGTCACTATTTTGGTTACCGATTCACTGATTGCTGTAACTTTTCATTGATGAATCTGTTAAACACGTCATTCATGTACGTAAATTATCTAATATATAAAATTCTCGTGTCACAGTGTTTGTAACAGAACTCCTATGAAACGATTTGACTGATTCTTATGAAATTTAGTGTATTATTTATTTATTTAAGCTATGTAATCATTATCTTTGTGGAAAAATAAACTATTATATATTATATATACATTTATTCAGTAGGTCTGGGAATATATCGTAATCTATTAGGATGGTCCATCCAACATATTTTGTAAAATATATTTTTTGGGCTACACTTTCGCTTTAATTTTTTCAGGGTTTTACCCTAAATTTTCACCATACCACCAACCTCTTTTTTAATGGTAGTGCGAAGTTCGCTAGGTCAGCTGAAATGTTTAAAAGAGTGAAAGTAGTTTTCATAAAAAAGAAATTGCAATTATTTTAAATCCATCCAAATTGTCTCTTTGTTTCATTAATCATCTACCATCATTGCTATAACCTTTTAAAATTAAAACTTACGAAGATTATCTGCTTTTTCTGATACACTAAAAAAACTTTGAAATCCCATAACAATGGTAGAGAAAGCTTTACAGCAATGTAACAAAGTCACAAAACCTTACGCAAATATTAGAAATAGGTACCCCACATATAAAAAATCTAAGTGCAATCTTCACCATATTTATTGGGAAAAGAAGCTTCATTATAAACTAGAATGAATTTTGTAATACTCTATGAGAGGTATATATAAACGGGTGGGACGTCTGTGTGTTCATTCGTAGATTCAACTTCGAACCGACACAACACATTATATACAATGATGAAACTGGTGAGAGATTTTTTTTTCATATATGTTATATATATATATATATATCTAATATAAGTGAGTGCCGGTCTGAAAATTTGCGTAATAGTGATGTATTGGTTTTATTCGATACGATACCGGTTCTGTGATTTCCGTCCTTGGAGTTCGATAATAATTTTTGAAAACATTAGATATTTTTTCGACGGTTTTGTTTTGACTAACAATGTAGCTTATTGATTTTGTGTTTTTATAAGTTGTTGTGCTATAAAATCTAAATTTCCTTTATTTTAATATATTTTTAAATTGGCTATTGAAATTCAATCTTAACTATATTCAATTAAACTTTTAGAAAGGTTATTATCAAAAATATAATGTTATTTAATATTACTCATAACTCTTTTAAAATCTCTTATTTAAATATATTTTTTCTATATTTATATATTTATGTGTAATTGATATAGTTTTAAAATAGGCAACATACAATTTCAGCGTGTTTAAATAAAATACGTGACTTGTAACATGTCTGTGCAAGTGCCGCGAGGCTGTAATTTACATAATTTGAGAACAATAGACCGGCGTGGGTGCGACATTGACATCTTCAGTATCATATATTATAATGTTTGAGAATCTGTGTACAGGTGTGATTAAAAACTTCACTTAACCTACATTGGATATGAGAGAAATGTTTCTAGTCACTTATATTTTTTTAAAAAGCTCTTATTTAAACATATTTTTTTTATATTTATATATTTATGTGTAATTGATATAGTTTTTAAATAGCCAACACACATTCCCAGCGTGTTTAAATAAAATGAAATACGTGACTTGTAACATGTCTTTGCAAGTGCCGCGAGGCTGTAATTTACATAATTTGAGAACAATAGACCGGCGTGGGTGCGACATTGACATCTCCAGTACCATATATTATAATGTTTGAGAATCTGTGTACAGGTGTGATTCAAAACTTCACTTAACCTACATTAGATATGAGAGAAATGTTTTTAGAGATTATTTATAATTTTCGCTTTTATTTGATTGTGCATTTGATTGTTTTTTCTTACATTTACTGGCTTTTGCTAGAAGGACAAATTTAATTTGATGTAATATTTAAGCTGGGTTTTCTATAATATTAGGTCAAGTCTGAGTCAGCTACGCACCAAAAGGTTGCGTATAATTATAAAAACGCAGAAAAACACGTTTCCTTTATTGTCCCTTACATTTTCATCTTTAGCTCATTTTGAATTTTCATTGTTGAAGTGATGACAAATTTATAGTCACCCATCCTCCGACCGGCCATTACGAAAATCGCTTAGCTTTCACGATCGCAGACCAAACGCGCCAACACTACGCCATGGAATTTTAAACTTATTTTCCATTATTTAATAATCATTGTTGCAGTTCCTCATCTCCGCTCTATTCGGCATCGCGGCCGCTGGGTACGCAGCCTACCCTGAGCAGTCGAGCCGCCCCCAAGCGTCCTTTGAGAAGAACGCCCGTATCCTCGCCTTGGACGCCGACGTCAAGGAGGACTCCTTCAGATACAACTATGAAACTGAGAACGGTATCAAGGCTGAGGAACAGGGGCATGAGGTGAGCAAAGCATGATGCAATGATATAGATGACAAGATGACGCTAGAACAGCCCCAAGTATGAGCACCGCGATGTGATATATCGACACATATATGGTTTTTATCAAGTTCAATTGTCAAATTACTATGAAGTTTGACAATCAGACGGGATAGAAAACGCGATAAAATATAAATTGTGGTGTTCCTGCTACAGAGACTGAACCATTTCTTTAAAGAAGTACTTTTCAAAATTTTAAAAGAAAGAAAAACGTTTTTCATGAATTATTTTTTGGAAATCTCCTTCGTTTTTGGAACCCAAACTCTACAGTACCCTTAGTACGAGTTTTACAATTGCGAAAACTATCGATAGTTTTCGTGAGCTCGCACCCGTACTAAGGGTACTGATTTTATTGTTTTCGTTTCAATACAAATAAACAGTGAATAAATTCTATCATGAAATCATTTGCGTCTTCTTAAATTTTAAGTATATTTGGTTTCTTTTCACCAAAATGGACATAGAAACATAATTTACAATTACTCACTAAAACTATGATAGTTTTCGTGAGCTCAAACTGGTACTAAGCGCACTGGTTACTCACTTGGTTAAAAAATGCGCTGAACAGTTTCAAAGGTTTTCAATAATATCTCATTGCAACTGCGGTATTGACAAAAATAGCAATTAATTTTCCCCTTTTTTGTACAGAACTTCCCGGAAAAATAAAGACTTTTTGCTGCCCAAAATACCACATAAAATCTTCTGTTTCAAATACACTATTGTTTTACTAGAGTCTTGAGTAAATTCTACCCGGAATAGATAAAATTGCTGTCATTTATCACAATATCAGTTAAAGTACTAACTGTTTTTGTTCATTACGAGACGTCTTCATTATAGCAATATCGCGGGAACAGTTCCGAGTGTCGATACTATCATTCGATATTGTTACGATACGGCCCTAAACGATGACTATAGTCGTAACAGTGAGCAGTGACAAATACTCGTAGATATTTTTACAGATAAGCCTTTGATAGGTCACGCTACCTCTGTGAGAAACGCACGAAACCAACTTGGTACTTGGGAATGAATTGAACAATAGATTTTTTAAATACTTCCCGCCTTCAACGTAATAATTTGAAATAAGAATCTACTTCATTGTTTTAACAAAACTTATTTTCGCCTATAGCTTTGAACTCTTTGTAAAAAAAAAAAAAATTGTGATCAAAATGTAATTGTATTGTGTACGTGTTTTATATTTATTGTAATACCTAATTTACCCTTGAAAACTCGATGCAAATAGTCTTAATAAATACACTATTAATGTTCAAGGTACACATTATAAACAATGAAATTCTTAAAACAATACATTTCAAGGATCATCTTAGAGTGTGTTAAATTGTAACCGTAATGATCTAGTCACGAACTCAAATTGAACTATTTAGACACGCATTCTCTTGGAATTTCAATGCGATATTAATTTTTCAAACTAAAGTTATTTTATACACTTTCCAAAATATACGATAATTTTTGGAAAATAATGATCAAAATAGAAAATACACGTGGAACAGGCAGCAGACGTGATATGTAGGCAGACACCGCACCCGTAGAATAAGAGTGCAAAGACCCGGTCTACACACGACACGCTATACCAAGTACAGGTACGTACCTGGACATTTTTCCCGCCCCTCACGTCAACGGCTAACTGGAGCCGAGGTCCGAGTCTCAGAGACGCTCTGTAGTTCAGCCGACCCCCTCAGGTTCGAGTGGTCTAGAGGCTCTAGACGGAGAGGAAACTCTCCCCGTGGGGGATCCGCCTGGAATACATCTAGAGACACTCGCCAATTCTCGGCTTGAATTCCCCTTAGGATCTCGCTGTCCCCAAACCCGGTGACGCTGTAAAGATCATCCGCGACCAACAGCATACACACTAAAAAAGAAAACCGCTGTCGGGGCGGATGTGGCCTAAAATATAGGTACAAAGTTTATATCTGCCAAATTTCTTTAGACCCTAAAACATTAAATCCACAAAATTGGTCCTACTAATCATGTTTCTGAATCAATGTGGTTGACATGCAAATTCATACATGGCAAAGTGTTACATAACTGTTTCTATATTCTCGTAGATTAAATACTGAATAATGATTATACTTAGTTACTTAATAAACTCATTTCTAAATCTAAGAAGAGTACGCCAACAGACAGACAGACAGTTGATGTCTGTAATGTCCATGAAAATGATGTAACGTGAGCTCTAGGTGACCTATTGGATATGGCTTCGATCGCCTGGTCACACCTTTATGCGAAAGTTCAGTGACCAGACGAAAGGTCAGTACAGTTCCATGCGAAAACCTGGTCTGATATATAAGATGATCTCTTATAATAAACTATGCAGGTAGGTAATAAAATCACAAGATATTTTTTAATTGAACAACTATTTATTTTAATACGATTTCAAGACCTTGGTAGTCTGCGATGTTTGAAGTGAAAAAAATATTGCTAATGCATCCATTTCATTAATGTTAACATGGACAGCGCTTGGGTCACTTATACTCGTATACTATCCTTTGGAAAATTATTACTTAATTTCAGAATCTTCAATATCAATTGGTCCTAGTAATTATTAATTCGTACTGTCAAAAGCTCTGTGATGGTATCTACATCTGAATAATTGGTTTTAAGTTAACAAATATTTAAGTAACATTCACCTCATTAAGAATTAGATTCTAATACTGATAATTTGTTCATCTCAAATATTTACGTAAATATCCCATGGTTGCTTGCGAAATCCTTAGCAGCCGTTAGCAACTTGTTAAAAACTGACAAGCCGTGATTAAAAACTGACAAGCCGTGATGCCTTTCTTGATGTTGAATTTATTCCATTTTGAATGATATTTAAAGCACTGACGGAAATTGGAAAACGCAAAACGATAAATTGGTTTCTAGATATGAATTTGGTATAATAAGGAAAAAAATAATTTCATTAGAACACTGAAATTTTAATTTAGATTTATTGAAAGAAAGCGCTGGAATTGTTCATTGTTTATTGTTGTCAAGTACAAAAGCCACTGCGCATCGATCAGAAATCGTTTAATTTACTCAACGGATTGTCATATGACGGGCAACCATAATTCTGTCTCTCTCTCTCTCTTCTCCGCTAGTGTCGTATCATGAGTGGACTGTTCACGAGGGCGAGTTCCATTTCATTGGTTCCAACTTGTCCTACTAAGCAGTTCTACGGTAGAACTTAACTGCACCATATATAACCTAAACTGTCTCATTTTATTTTCCTTTAAGTACCTGCTTTGTAAATATTATAGTACAATTTATTTTTTCTGTTACTGTGCATTGAATTCTCTTATCTCCTCCATTTTCAGGCTGATGGCATTGAGGCTCAAGGTGGTTTCCAATATACCGGTGATGACGGTCAGGTGTACTCCATCAGCTACGCTGCCGGCCAGGGTGGTTTCCAACCCCAAGGTGCCCATCTGCCCGTCGCACCACCCACCCCTGAGGCCATCCTAAAGGCTTTGGAACAGAACGCCGCTGATGAAGCCGCTGGTATCATCGATGATGGTAAGTAAAACAAGATTATAGTAATTAGCGGAATCGCTACCATGAACCTTGTTTTTGTGTCTCCGATATTTATGCACTGTTGCAAGAGTCACGATCACAAAATAACTTTAAGAAATACTATTTTTCAGTATTTTGAAAAAGGAATTTGATTTTAATGTGTTCATTTTCGGATAACGGTAGCTAATCTTGATATAAAAAAACAAAAAGTTCTATAAAGCGTATTACGTAAAAACCTGAAGACTAAACATCATTTAGATGAGGTATAAATAAATAACAATTCCTGATAAAGAAAATAAACCAGGGTTTTAAAATTCTGAATATTTTATTTGATCGAGTCGCACCTGTTAGTGATTATCATCTTGATTCAAATAGATGCAATAGCAAAGATATGAGAAACCTGTTTCTTGTTAATCTAAATCGCAATTCTGAATTTGTTAATGAAATTCATAACAACATAATAACATTCATTGTCCCCATACAATGACGACCACACCACAACTTACGTAAGTAAATTGGCTGCCCCAGCTGACATCATAGTGAGCTCAGAAAGATCAATTACGATGTGTAAAATCTCTTTAAAGATACAACAAATGGCATAGTTAGGCTCTCCCACGATTATGCAAGACCCAAGTGCAGTGTAGGTATCAAATTTCAAAACCCAAGCTGAATCAGGTCCACACCTTAAAAGCTAATGTAAGACGATAGTTTATAAGGTCGTAAATTGTTATTAAACCACTTTGAATCCGTAGCATCAGCATTTTCGATTATGATTTTAACTAAATACCTTTACGGGATAAACTATAATTTGTTCTTAGAATACCTGAGATCGGGACGAGAGAAGTAATGATATGCGCTGGCTAAGATTGAGAGATAAGCTTGTTTATTTCGCTTACGAAATTAACGTCGATTCAGTGTAATTGGGCGTGTTCCGATGTTATCATAGGCATCCTAATATCTTTGGGGCGGTGTTAGTGATGTTAACTATGGGTATCTAAATGACCCTTCGGTTGTTGAAATAGCTTGCATGCTAACATTATTACTACATGAAACACAATATGTCAAAATCTTTTTTTTTAGGGTTTATGTTCAAATGTCGTTACCTCTAGTGGAAAACTGTTAGACTGTTCATTATTAAGTACTTTTATCGATGAAATTTTCACTTATCGCGTTTTTTAAATATTTCATATTTACAATTTTTATTTTTTAAACATGTAACTGCTTGTGTTTAATCTTATGTTTAAATCTAAAGAAAATATAACTAGAAAAAAAACCACGCGGACCAAAACATTGATCATTGCTCAAAAAATAAAAATTTAAACTATAATTGCTATTTCTTCTTTCAAATGTCTAATACTTGTAAAAGTATTCATTTGCCATTGTGGATTACCTACAATGCGAAGAGATGGCGCTGCCTTGCAGCATTAAGAATAGCTAGAAGAATTTCGACGCGGCCATCAGGGCCGCGGTAGCATAATTGGTCAGTGTATTCGCCCGGATAGGTAAGGGTGCGGGTCCCATCTGCTGCCTGGTCCGCGTGGAATTTTTTCTAGTTATATTTTTTATTTTATAGTTTTTACTTGTACCTTATACGCATCATTTTCTGTTGAAGAAAAACTCCAAAATCTATATGTACTATAATTATTTATTAACTTTACTGTACACATTAGGAAATCATTTATTCCTTGATAGATTAATATGCGTAATGCAGAAATTGATTTAATGATTGCTCAAAAAGACTCATCACTGTTACCATGTGACATTGTAATGATAACCTGCTATAAGGTAACACGTGAATAATCGCTCACTTTACAAACATGTACTAGATTCGACCTTTCCGATGTTTCTCAACGGACCTCTTACTTAAATCCAGCGCTTGGGTAACAACTAACGATGGGCTATTTACTTTTTGTCCTAACTTAGAATCTAAGACAATGAGATCGCGTTTGTTATAAAATGACGTTTTAGCAATTTGCAGAAAGCACCTTAAAGAGAATTATATTTCTGGTGTACTATTCATAAATTTTGATGTTATAGCAATAGAGGTTAAATTTGAATGTTTTTTTGTTAATAATGTAATTGCCGTAAGATAATGCACTGTATTTGAGGAATGAACCGAACATAATAGCCGCAGTTGATCCAACAATAGGATTTGTGGTGAAGGGTTCTCTCATAACTTAAGGTCGGATGTTTTTTTGATAAATTACGTTCACCGAATGAATTGAAACAAACCAAAAGATATTCGTTATTAATTATTTTCATTATCAGACATTAATTCAATTCTCTACGGAGAGAACAATTTAATTTAATACTTCATTAGGGAACATTCTATTGTTATCAAGTAATAATTACTTCATGTAATTCCTATAAACTCAAAAGGAAATGAACTTTTCTGAGAGCAATTGAGTTATGTATCTTAGATTGATGATTTCTTACATCAAAAGAGAATTTACAAGAAATAAAATTGTTATCCTCTGAGAATTTGGTCAAAACACTATTTGGATCATGGACATGGCGATTTTTTTGTTGATGGTTGCTTTCTCAATTACTTTATTAAATTCTTAAGATATAAAAATGTTGCTTTCAACTCCATATGCTTAAAGATTATTTTCACATTTCAGGCCAATACAACCCCTCCAAATACGGAGACGCTAGTGCTGGATTCGGACAGCAGCAACAGTACGTGCGCGCCCAGGCCTCCGCTAGCTCTAGCTACAGACAGCCCTACAAGTACTAAGCACTGAACACTTAGATTTATAACTTTACTGATAGAACGCGAGTCATCGATATCACTTTTAATTTAATCACTTTTGATACCTGATCCCGATTCTTGTATTATATCAACTTCATCACCATCATCATATGTGTTCAAACTAGCTCCTTTATAATTTTCATTTTCCAGTAATTAATTAGCGATTTCTAAAAATTTATTTAGTAAGACGATAACTTTTTGAAGTTCAAAAGGTGACGTTGGTAGGGATTTTTATTCTTGTGTGTCATTGTTACTATTTAGGATGTAAATTTTTTTCTATTATTATCCCATCTATAATATGTTGAGCTGTATTGCTAGAGTACCTTATTCAGTAAGTTGCAAATTGTGATAATTTTAGCAATAACAGTGCAAACAAAATAGAAATTTGTGAACCGTAAAATACTCAGTGGAGAGTCTACGAATGCTATTGTGTTTAGTGTCGATCCAATAGTGATATAGTGTTTACCAGTGAGAGAGTTTTGGAAACGTATATTTTTATTTATTCTATGAATAAAACAAAAGATATCTTTTTATAATTGATTTGCTTTCTTTTTCTTTTCTTCATACCCGCTCTTCTACATTTATGCAAAAACGCAGAGCGTGTGTCATATTTTGTTTCTTTGAGAAGTTGGCAGAGCACCGAAGTGTACTTATTTCAATGCAAAATTTATATCTAAATAAAAAAAAATGCCTGTATATTGAAAATATCTGATGCAACTCCAGCTTTGTACTTAACTGAGATGAATAGATTTTCAGTAATGTTTTTCGTTATGAACTCATAACGATAATATTAGTTCATAAAGTGTATCTACAAATAAAAACTTTAGTCTACTCAGAAGGGAAATCCAATCATTAGTTTGTCGTACTATCCGTAAATGGAATGCTCTGTCCGCACACGTCTTCCCTCCTTTTTTTGTCTGGGAAATGCCTTACGCATCCTTCGACCACCGGGGGAGCGAGAGGAAGGTATGTGGGACTCCTCCCTGCTCATTTTAGCCAGCTCTTAGGCCAGGTGAAATGAGCAGGGCCTACCTAACGCCCTGAATAGAGCCACTAAAAACCAGACAATACTCCTGCATCGGTCACCCGGCGTACATTCTGAGGACCGCAGTCCCCCCAATGTACGTCGGGAGTGCGGCTGTGGTCGCGGCAACCGTTGCCGACTGTCCGCGCGCACGTGTGGCCTTCTTCTTACAACATGGCATCCTTTAAAAGAGGCGTGAAGTAGCAACATGTAGGCCGAAAGGGTGAGGATGGAAGCTGTGGCAGGTAGAACTGATGTACCAGTTATCTTCACGTTTGGACTTCACCATCACTTCACGTCAGGTCGCTATATATAGTACATAGCGACATCCCTTTCTAACTGTACTCAAGTAAAAATCAACACTTAGTCTTAGATTAAAACAAAAAGGGTAGATACGGTACGCTCATACTAGCATCATTTAAAAATATGATCCGACTCAACTACATAGGCAACTCACACACGCAAGAGTCTATATATAAACATCAATCGAGCGAGCGAGACAGAACTATACTCTTCAATGCAGCGTATTGTTGTCCTTTTCTTGCTTACAAAATAGCGATTACGTAAATAATATTCACGACAAACCGTGATTTTTGAGAAAAAAAGGTTTTCACAGTTTTACGAATGAAAAGTGTTGCGGGGGCATTTGATTTTGAACTATTTGTGTTCTTTATAAAAGCATCGAAGGCATTGTTATATCTTCATAACACAGAATTTACGCAATATTGTTATATTGAGTGTACATGCAGCTTGTTTGAATGTCAAATTGTGACTAAAGCGAATTATGATCGTGGACCACAATTTAAGCGGATCACTATTGACCCGCGAATGCCGTATCTTCCCTTTTTGTTTTAATCTAAGCACTTAGTTGTCATTCTGTAATACGGGCCTAAGTCAAGTCGCGCGAGTGTATATTAGAAATCAAAAATGCCAAAATTTTATGTAATAAACTTACAAAAGGATGGTGTTAAACTTCACATTTAAGTAGAATTATTAACAAATTATTTCTATTTAACTACTTTTATGTACAAATTTCATATAATTTTTATTAAAATTCTATTGTCGGGCTTGTTTGACAAAACAATCGGCTCGCCAGTACCAATTTCAGATCTGTCAATAAAAAATCTTAAGTTTCATCTATGCCCGATTTAGCGCTGTCATTTTTTATGTGTGAGTGTCGTAATTACAATTTCGTTTTTGCGAAATTATGTTGGACTGCATTTGTGTGCATATTTCTTCCCCCGCAAAAAGCGGCAGAATGATTTCAGTACTATTATGTCATTATGGCTACTCCCCTGCTAGCCGCGTCGGCTGTGTTGCTCTATGATATAAAAGTATAGATATAGAAGAATACATAGATATAAACTAAAGACTTCTCCAATATCATGCCCAGTTGTCATACACATGTAAAAATTTGAAGTTTAAGCTTTAAAAGTATTTAATTAATAACAAGTCAGAGCAAATCTGCTGAAGTTGGTCAGGTGCATGGCCGCCCTGAGTTTTCAGCTTAGCAAAAAGTTTCTTAGCAAATAGGTCGAGTATATTAAATCTGGCCATGGGCATGGCCATCGTGAGTTTTCTGTTTAGCAAAGAGTTTCTTTTAGGCATAAAGGTTGAATTTAGATAAAATATGGACCATGTTTTTTTGAAGTAAAAGTTTTTTCAAAGCTGTCAAACTAGCCAAACTCGTTTTTCCATACAAACTTTGAACCCCAAGCGGATTGGTTGCTGTAGATTGCAGATGCAACCGGGACCAACGGCTTAAAGTGCCTACGAATGCCTGATAAGCTCGACATAGTAAATTTTTGGTCACCCATCCAAATACCAACCACTACGAAGGTTGCACGATAGCAGCGAAACAAACAAACAATCAAATTATTTCTCTTTATAATAATAGTATGGGTTGTATCACAAAAAGCCGTAAATACTTATTGAAAATAAACGAATCAAATCTGATCAACTATGACGTCGAATACTCGTTATACGATCATTAGCGAATCGTTAAGATCTTGTTGTGCAACAGCCGCCGCTGCATCTGAACCTGACATTGATTCGAAAACTTGTTTGTTAATTTTACTTTGAATAAGATTGACGAGTACACATTATTAAAAAAAAATCTAAGACAAGGTCATGAGTTTCTTCATATGTAGCCTCAGCGTGGACTTAAAATCTAGAACACGCAGAGCTCATGATTTATAGCTGACGGACATAAATATTAGTAGAATTTCCTCTACATATCATATCTCTTCACACTATAGGTAACCCACAATGTAAAACTTTTTGATGTGTAACATCTTTCCTCTCGCTTTCCTGCAATTTATGGGAGTGATTTCCTGAAATGGGACGGAAGTGTGTAACAGGAAGTCGCGAAAGCGCATGCTTTTTAATTTGATTTTAGAACACAATGTTCAAATGGCTTGTTGCTTTTGTAGTAGGTTTTATTCCTTTATTTACTAATGATCACACTACATAGGTCCATAGATAAAAACCTTATAGTTACATAAAACATTGTTGTTAGAGTCTGTGCGGAAAGAGAATGGGCGTGGCGAAAAACGGAACTAACACTAAGATTTTTACGTGGCAATCAAACCCAGCTTACATAGGTCCATAGATAAAAACCTTATAGTTACATAAAACATTGTTGTTAGAGTCTGTGCGGAAAGAGAATGGGCGTGGCGAAAAACGGAACTAACACTAAGATTTTTACGTGACAATCAAACCCAGCTATCTGTAAAACGTCAAAGTTTTGTATTGACACGGATTTGTTTGTTGTTGTGATTTCTTGCGGTTTTTTGTTTTTAATCATGTCTAAAAGGGGTCCGCGGACCCGCCCCCATGAAGATGCCCCGGAGTATTAGGGGCATCAACATTCAGAGAGCTTGTGCAATGCAAGCCTGGCCCCCTCAGGACAGACTCGCGGCCCTCACGAGAGTGGGAGGGAGAGCGTAGTTCTCTCCGTCCCTCTCTCGTCCCCTCTTGGCCCTGAAAAGGGCCTATGCTACCGGGGCCCTAATTGTCCGTGTCGAATTTTCTCTAGGATTTCTAAGGCTACCAGGCAGCGTCATCTCGACCCATTGTAAGAATTTTTCTACTCCAATTTTCTTAAGATTTAAACAGCAGTCAAATGCTTAAAAATTTAAAATATGATTACATACTTTCCCGATTCAGAATAAAAATGTTTTTTTTTTAAATAATAACCCTTATATCCTTTGCGTCACTTCGTGATAGAAAGGAGAAGCAAAATAGAACTGTGCTATACTTTTGATGATGATATCATCTCCGTGAAAAATATGAATAAAAAAAAAGTTTCAACGTTATAGATGCACTGATTTTCTTTATTTATTGACGTTTCGCATCCTTTTCAGGGTGCGTCGTCCAAATAATGATTTCATTAATAATACTCAGACGACGCATCCTGAAAAGGATGAATTAATGAGTGGTCTGCGTGAAAACCTAAGAAACAAATATGAATTAAACTTATCCATCAATCATATTTTTACTGTCTCGTATTTGATGTGATGCATGTGATTATCTTGAAAACTAAGTTCACTAGCGCACTCTGCTAAGTTAGGCCAAAACTCTACATTCTAATATCAATAATGAAAAGTGAACAAAACATAGGACTGCTTCAAATAACCGTGCTTGTTTTGTACATGTAAGTTTCGAAAGCGGTCGTGAGATGGCAGCGCTGTATATTGAAGTCGAGTGAATATTGTTGACTAGTAAGGCGATTCTCACACTGCCACGCACTACGCTGCGAAGCGAGGGAGTGCGTGAACTAACGTCGCTTGCAAGTACCGCTCTTTGTATCGAAACACGCGTAGTGCAACACACCCAAAACGCAGTACACTGTTTTCTTTTTAGTGTGTATGCTGTAGATTGCAGTTGACCTTTTACAGCGTCGCCGGGGTTGGGGACGGCGAGATCCTAAGGAGATCCAAGCCGAGAATTGGCGAGTGCCTCTAGAGATATTCCAGGCGGATGAAGTCTCCCCGCGGGGGGAGTCTCCTCTCCGTCTGGAGCTTCACACCGCTCAAACCTGAGGGGGTCGGCTCAACTAGAGGGCGTCTCTGAGACTAGTTAGCCGTTGTCGTGGGGGGTATTAGTAAGGCGATTCTCACACAGCCACGCACTACGCTGCGAAGCGCGGGAGTGCGTGTACTAACGTCGCTTGCAAGTACCGCTCTTTGTATTGAAACACGCGTACTGCAACACACCCAAAACGCATTCCACATTTTTTTTATCTTTAGAGTGTATGCTGTTGGTTGCTTAACTTCAACGGTCGCAGTTGAACTACCACCACCACTAACCACTTGCGAAATCGAGCTCCTCGATGTGCGGTTCCCGGGAAAAAATAAACTTATACCTGTTATAAAGCCATGCAATGCTGTCTGGCGCTCCCACACCAGAGCGATGACCCCCGGAAGGTCCAAATGGACCTGCCGCCCGGCAAATAAGAAGTAGTAGTTATATTTTCTTTTATTTTCTTCTTTAGAAGAAGTAGTGTTTTATTAGCTATTAGTTCCTTGTGTTCCTATGTGCATGAACAGTAAAAGCTTCGGAAATGGGAAAAATGTCAAATTAGGCCGTGTCGTTTGATGCATAGTTAATTCTGACTGTTAGTCAATGTGTAAAAATGTGTAAAATTTTGACAAATGTTTTTTTTTTTAAGTATTTTAAGTATAGTCAAATTTAACTATCTCTAGAAAATATAACTAGAAAAATTCCACGCGGACCAGGCAGCAGACGGGAACTCGAACCCGCACACTTCGCTATCCGGGCGAATGCACTGACCAATTATGCTACCGCAGCCCTGTCCTCGACCCCGCGGCGGTCCGCGTCGAAATTCTTCTAGCCATTCTTAAGCTGCAAGGCAGCGCCATCTCTTCGCATTGCAGGTAACCCACAATGACAAATTAATACTTTTACAAGTATTAAACATTAACTATCTATGTCCCATACAACGCGGTCTTAGTGTTATAAAGAAATCAAGCCAATCAAATCGAGAAAAAGTCAAGTTGAACTGCGATCTTCTTTATTAATGAACAATTTACATAAATATAAGGTAGAACTAATTTTATAATATATTTAACATAGTAGCTTTGTACATTTCGGTTATTTCTTCTATGGTTTTATCAATATTTGTAGCCAGAATTTGAGTTGAAAGATCCTTGGTGGTTTGCTGAGCCGAAGCTTGGTCCTGATCCATAACCTGAGTTACCTTGACCTTTGTTATCGGGTTTGTATTGACCTGTGAAACAAGGAGAAAAATTATGTATAAGAAAAATGCACTTAAAGCCTCGCCTAAAAAGGAAGCGAGCTACAGTGACGCCGCGACTGAGCGTCAGATAGAATTTCTATGCAAATGACATTGTCAGTCTTAGATTAAAACAAAAAGGGTAGACGGCACTAGCCTCACAAAAGTGATCCGCATAAATTGTGGTCCACGACCCTAATCGCTTTAGTCACTTGACAAGCAAACAACGTAGGTACATGTGAACGCCAAAAAGAAATATTGCTATATATTTTGTGTTTATATGATAAACAAATGCCTAAGTGTGTTTTTAAAAAGTCCTCAAATGGCTCAAGAACTAAAAATAAAACCCACGGCATCACTTTTCATTCGTAAGTACTATAAAATATATTTTTTCATAAAAATTGCTGTTTGTTTTGAATCTTATTCGGTAGTGACGTCGAGTATTGGTCGCGTGATTGGTCGGTAGTGCAGTGTCGCGGATCTCGCCGTCTCGTTCGCGCTGCAGTTGAAACTTAACGTGCTGTTTCGCTCGGGTCGGTAATGCAGTGACGCGGATCTCGCCGTCCCGTTCGCACTGCCGTGGGATCAGTTTTTGTTTGATGCAAGTATGAGCGTACCGTATCTACCCTTTTTGTTTTAATCTAAGTCTGACCCTACTCGCTACGAAAGCCCACCTTAACGCCCGGACTCGGCCATATCCGTTATATAAGTACAATTTCTATGTATAATTTGTAATTGAACGTGTTTACGGATCAATGGGTTTCTCACAGTTTACAAATGAAATCATTCTTAACCTAAATATATAAAACTCAAAGGTGACTGACTGACATAGTGATCTATCAACGCACAGCCCAAACTACTGGAAGATCGGGCTGAAATTTGGCATGCAGGTAGATGTTATGACGTAGGCATCAGCTAAGAAAGGATTTTGATCAATTCTACCCCGAAGCGAAGCGAGGGCGGGCCACTAGTTTATACTAAAAGCAGGGTTCGTTTTAACTTATACCTACAACTTACGTAGAATTTAAATTAAAAAGCTGGACTAGATTTCATAAAGATGAATTTTGGATAAATTTTGTGAGTTGTAGTTTGGATAACTTTTATTGCAAAACAATTTATTTGTTTGCTTTACATTTTTGATATCTCGAGCTTCTTTTACTTCGGAAAGCACCATTAGCCGTTGAACACTGCAACATCTGATATCGCTAATATTAAAACAAACATGCTGGCTCGAAGATTCGCTCGCTGTTTGGATCAGGTCAAGATAACCTTATTCAAAGCTTATTGTCAGGGTATGTACGCGGGAAGTCTGTGGTCCAAAGATATGAAAAAATCCATGGCCACTTTGCGCGTGCAATACAATAATATCTTCAGGATGATGTTGGAACTGCCCCCCTTCTGTAGTGCCTCCGGAATGTTTACTGAAACTCGAACTTCCATCCATCGGTTTCCATGCCGTCTTGCGGAAAAAAGTTGCATCATTGATGTGTAGAGTGCGGAGCAGTAACAACACCATTCTGAAGATCGTGGCAGGGGATAAGCATGCACCATTTTGGAGGCATTCCGTGCGTATGATGACTGAAATAGAAGTTAATTATTCTTCTTGGTGTCGCTCGCGCGGAGTGCCTCCAAGGTACATGACCTATTGAAAAGGCATAAATATTATGAATATGTAAATACTTAATATAGGCTACTAACACTTGGCTTGTAAGTTATATTGTATACTAACATATGGATCTGTGTTGTCTGCCAATAAATGATATTATTATTATTATTATTACTCAAATGCATAAGTGTGACCATTGAATTATGGTTCATTCGCCTTGCATGATTTTGTCCATAGAGGCATGCCTGTTTCAAGTGTAAAGGCTATTAATAATAACGACCAAATAGACAGCTAATGTTATAAAATATCATACCATCATCAAAAATCCCAGAAGCTTCGTCCTTAGCGTTTTGCTCTAAAGCTTGCAGAATAGCTTCAGGAGTGGGAGGTGGTACCGGGATGTGATCGCCCTGAGGCCTGAAGCCACCTTCTCCGGCGGTGAAGATTATCGTGTACGTTTGACCGTCGTCACCCTTGTAGGAGAAGCCACCTTGGGTCTGCGCTGCGTTACCGCCTTCCTCAGCCCTGATACCGTTTGAGGTTTCATAGCTGTAGTGGAAGCCTAGAAAAAGGATATATTCTATTTTTAACCATTTAATTGCTAGATGTTGAAATCTTAATAAAATTCTACTCGAAAAAATTTCACGAGGTCCAGGAAGGAGACGGGACTCGAACCCGCACCCTCCGCTATCCGGGAGGATGCACTGATCAGTTATGCTACAACAACCTTAATAGCCGTGTCGAATTTCTTATAGTATTTCTTAGGCTGCATTTTTGGTCAGTGCATTCGCTAGGATAGCGGAGGATGCGGTTCGAGTCTGGTCTGGCGGCGTACCGTGTGTGGCGAGTCCATATAAAATGTATGAAAACTACAAGAAATATGCATATTTCTTGTAGTTTACTTGTAGTTTTGTGGTTGTGGTCGGTGGCCCGTGTGCGGCGACACTTAGACATTTCTTATTTACACATTTATAGTAAGACACTTTATAAGTGGAACTTTAATTATAGGCGACTACGACATTCAATATTCACTTAACTAGCAATTAAATTTTATGAAATTTTCATACTAACATTAATTTTAATATAAAGCAACATTGAATCAAAATAAAATTATAAATTGTCAATATTTGAACAACAACAATTAAATAACATAACCAAACATATAGATTTTATTCTGTTCAATATATTCGCGAAGATCTAGAATATCGGTCAACTTTGACAATGAATTGTACTGAGAGCAGAGAGAGAGCATTCTATTTATAGGAGAAAATAAACCTAGGTTCGAACTTAAAAAATGTTGGATTTCGAACAAGGTCGTAGCAAAATATAATGAATAGGGAATGATAATTCGTTCTAGAATAAGCTAATCCTTGCATACGAAATAACTAGTGACACCTAAACAAAACGTAAAAATTTACTTACCATTATCATTGATATCCTGGTCTTGTTTCAAAATGGCCGCGTTCTTTTCCGCTTCTTGCTGCGGTCTTCTGTTACCATTGCTTCCAGAACCACCAAAGCCAGAACCTCCTTGGCCGAACTGACCTTGCTGGTAACCTCCTTGGCCGGAAGAACCTCCTTGGTTTTGAGGCAGGTATGTATTTGAAGGCCGAGCTGGGCCTTGATTTTGTGGAATGTAAGTGTTGGATGGTAGAAGAGCTCCCGATGAGATGGCGATGACGGCGGTTAATATAAGCTGAAATTAAGGATATTTATTTTCTTTTATTGACGTAATTTTATGTTTGTTTATACATAGTAAAAAAAACGTGAGGAGGAGCTCGATGGCGCAAGTGGTTATCGCGTTCGGCTGCGATCGTTGAAGTTAAGCAACTTTCGCAGTGGTCGGTCTTTGGATGGGACCAAAAATTTACTAGCTCAAATTCCTTCGTGCTTCGTAAGGCACGTTAAGACGTTGGTTCCGGCTGCATCTGCAGTCGTTAACACCTACCGATCCGCGCTGGACCCGCGTGCTGGGTTATGGCAAAATCTCCCTATTCCATCCATAGGGAAGGCCTGTGGCCCAGCAGTGGGGCCATTATTAGACTGATGATAAAATGAGAAGTAAATGTAAATATTACGAACAAAATCTTTAATTTAAAGATACAGTCAGTTTCATTGGTGGGTATGTGATGATACCCTTACCAGACTTAATAGGGACAAACTCCGCATAATTACAGAAACCCTAACTGGTCATTGTCCCCTAAAGAAACACCTATACACAATATGAGTAACAGACAGCCCCTTATGCAGAGGATGTATGGAGGCGGATGAAACGCCACAGCATGTCATTATGGAATGCAGGAGTGTAGCCGACCAACGGGCACGACTTCTCCAGTCGCCAGCATCGCTTCCGGAAGCTTGCAGCAGTCTGCGAAGACTGCTTTCCTTCTGGACTAACCTAGGCTGACTGGAGTAAACGGGAATGTTTCAAGACAATGGTCCAATGATTAGGACTAAGTGCGGAAACCGCCCTGTAAATGTAAACTGAACTATGGTATGTGATGATTTGTCAGTAATGTAGCCCGTAACATCATCGTATCAGACCAGAAACTTGAGGTTCTGGATAACGAATCCAGTACACTCTCGGTTCCGAAAAGGAATTTAACCATATTACTGCAAGTTGCGTAGGGTTTGTGATATCATCAAAATTGTTTCTGATTTCTTAAAACAAGTGCTTTAGATGCGTCAGAATCAGAGCAATGAATGTTTATGTAGTCCAATAAAATGTTTTACGTAAGCTTATATGATATCACATATATTATTATTGTTGTAAAGCACTAAGTTGCTAAGGAACTTGTAATCTACATATTCAACTCACAGTTGCAATAAACTTTGCAGAACCTGTTATTGCATTCCAATTAGGTACTTAGAAAACAAATATGAATGTTTTTTTTTCTATTGGATGAATTTATTTGTAATCGTTATGAATAAGAGATTTTTTGGCGAATTAGCTCACAACCACTAAACAACAATTGTAGCATCAAAATATTTCTTGGCGACTTTTGCACACGAGTTACATAAAGTCGCCTTCATATAATAATAATAAATATTTCTAACACCCACACAAATTAGCCTAGCCCCAAAGTAAGCACTGTAGGCTTGTGTTATAGGATACTAGGGTAAGGGATAGAATAGAATACTGATACATATATAAGTATATTTATATAGAAATACATATTAAACATCCAGGACTGGAGTACAAATGCTCGTATTCATTACACAATTATCTGCCCCCACCGGGATTCGAACGCAGGATCTCTGAGTAGGCGATACTTTTGAAATCCGGCGTACAAACCACTCGGCCACGGTAGTCGTCTTCATAGACGTGGTGTATGATAGTCTAAATTACTATTTTAACATCTAATCTATATATATAAAACTCAAAGGTGACTGACTGACATAGTGATCTATCAACGCACAGCCCAAACCACTGGATGGATCGGGCTGAAATTTGGCATGCAGGTAGATGTTATGACGTAGGCATCCGCTAAGAAAGGATTTTGATCAATTCTACCCCGAAGCGAAGCGAGGGCGAGCCACTAGTTTCATATATAATATAAAGATACTGAAGGCTTTGTTTGTTTGACGCTACGTTCGTTTCAAATAGGAGCGGAACGTCAATGAAAAATGTTGCAAAAACGGGTAAAAATATTCTATGTAGGAGCTTCCGTAGCGTGTGTTGCGTAAATGTTCAAAGATACACAAACAATCACAAATGACGGGATCGTTCCTGTTATCATCTAGTTCATACTAGTTATTTAAGAACTGTTAGAAACTTATAATCATTTATGTCTGCTTATTATTAATTGTATTAATTTGATATGCAATGAAATGAATGAATGATGAGACAAGGCGACCTCCGTGGCCAAGTGGTTTATACGCCGGGTTTCAAGGTGTGGCCATCTCGAGAGATCCCGGGTTCGAATCCCGGTGCGGTGGGGGCCGATGTTTGTGTGATAAATACGAGCATTTGTACTCCAGTCATGAATGTTTAATATGTATTTCTATATAAATATACTTATATGTGTATCAGTTTATGTATTCTATCCGTTACCCTAGTATCTCATAACACAAGCCTACAGTGCTTAATTTGGGGCTAGGCTAATTGGTGTGAGTGTTGGAAATATTTATTTATTTATTATTAATGAATTGAATTGAAATCTGCAGTCAATTTGCATCGATACGTATTATATTTTATTCTCCATAACTTCTAAAAGTAGGCAAAAATCTTTGGAGAATACCTAAGGTTCAAAAGACTATAGATATACCTAATTAGATTAGAGATCTACTAAGAACTTTGGTGTTTTTTAAATATCTCCTCTTTAAATCTAAAGAAAATTTTACTAGAAAAAATTCCACGCGGACCAGGCAGCAGACGGGACTCGAACCCGCACCCTTTTCGCTATCTGGGCGAATGCACTGACCTTTTTTTTTAGTGTGTATGATGTCGATCGCAGATGACTTTTACAGCGTCACCGGGTTTGGGGGCGGCGAGATCCTGAGGGGACCTCAAGACGAGAATTGGCCAGTGCCTCTGGAGGTGTTCAAGGCTGATGGCATCTCCTCAAGGGGGGATTCTCCTCGCCATCTGGAACCTCTAGACCACTCGAACCTGAGAGGTTGCACTGACCATTATACTACCGCAGCCCTGTCGGCCGTGGCGAATTTTCTCTAGCCTTAGGCTACAAGGCAGCGCCATCTCTTCGCATTGTAGGTAACCCACTATTTCTTTTAAACCGAATTTTTACTAGTAACATTTTCTTTAGATTTAAACATCTAGCAGTTAAATGCTTTAGAAAATCCAAAAATATAACTATCTCTTTTTGTCATTTCGCGACTCTAAATAGAAATCTGGCTAGCTAACATATTATAATTTATTTGTGTATTTTTTTGCTTACCAATTTCATTGTCCCCAATTTGTTTACTCTACACACGTCCAGATAAGAAGCTTCTTTTGCACTGTGCCTCCGTAAATAATCCCCAGGCATTTATATACTCCGAAAATATGTAGAGAAGCGTACGCAGGTCTCGATAAAATACAATTTAGCGGATGACATCGATGCAATTGGAACCTTGGTCACTTAATTGGTCAAGTTTTTTTCGACGATTTGACTTTCTACCGTGTGTACGAATTTTGTGCGTACACAAAGTTAAACATTTAATAAAACCACATTTTGACGTATCTTATGAATTCGATTTATCCCTGGTTTCATCATCATCATCATCATCAGCCTATTAATGTCCCCACTACTGGGGTACAGACCTTTCCTATGGATGCAATAGGGAGATTGGGCCATGACCTACCACGCATCCCAGTGCGGATTGGTGGGTGCTAACGACTGCAGATGCAGCCGGAACCAACGGCTTAACGTGCCTTCCGAAGCACGGAGGAGCTCGAGATAGTAAGTTTTGGTCACCCATCCAATGCGACATCGAGCTCCTCGATTCAGTTTTACAGTACATCCGACCACTGGCTTGCGACATCGAGCTCCTCGATTCAGTTTTACAGTACATCGTTAACAATGATTATGTACTCGAACGTATCCCTTGTAAACAATGTCCATGATTTTGCTACATTTTTTCTAAGCATTGAACTATCTGCTATTTTTTAAGCTAAAAGGGTGTCAAAGGAGCATAATAATATGGTCTGCCGGATGGCAAGCGGACATCGTAGTCCAAAGACCGAGGTCAATGTTCCCCTTTCCTAAAATAAGCGCCTTATTTTGTTCCCTCCGATTCCGTCGGCCAAAGCACGTCTTAGATTACCCCGACGACGAAATCAGCCGCGCCACCGTGCCTCCGACTCCTACCACACAGGCTTCTCCATACTTACACACTAGCTTAGTATTAGGCAGACACCGCACCCGTAGGATAAGAGTGCGAAGACCCGGTCTACACACGACATGCTATACCAGATACAGGTACGTACCTGGGCGTTATTCCCTGCCCCTCACGACAACGGCTAACTAGAGCCGAGGTCCGAGTCTCAGAGACGCCCTCCAGTTGAGCCGACCCCCTCAGGTTCGAGTAGTTTTGAGGCTCCAGACGGATAAGGAGACTCCCCCCGTGGAGAGATGCCACCTGGAATACCTCTAGAGGCACTCGCCAAATATCGGCTTGAGGTCCCCTTAAATTTATATTAATTTATTTATTAAATTTACATTTTATATCAGGAGTAGGTATACCCTTGCGATTACAAAAATAATTTTGAAACCCGGCCCTAAATTGACCGGAGAAATCGCGTAACAACTAAAAACGCACTTCAACCTAAGAAGCATTCAATTATATCGTGTGTGTTAAATTGTAACCGCTTTTGTCATTTCTTATTACAAAAACTATTATTTAATAACAAAAGTCCGATAAAATATAATATAAAATGTCATAATCAATGTAATATAATGTCAAAAGTTAAAATATCTTTATTCAAATTGGATGCAATATACAATTCTTTTGAATAGTCCATATTTTTTCCTTACCACTAGTTAAGGAAATTTTTTAGCTGTGGAGAAAAACTGGCGAAAAAACTTCACAGTGTTAATTATTATGTAACAATATTAACAAAATATTATATTGCTACCGTGTCAATAAAAAATAATTTCATCTTCATCATAATTATATAAAAAGCCTACCGGAACGTTGGGAACAGTTTAAACCCAAGCATTTTTGACTGAAATATAAATAAGACACTTTATAATAGGCTTTATGAATAAGAACTCTTTGAATGGTAGTTTTAAATTTATTGACGCTTAATATTTGTATATTGCTAGGGACTTTATTGTAGACGCGTACACAAAGACCTTCAAATGAATTATTGATTTTGTGAAGCCTTGAAATTGGCACAGCTTAGGTCGTAAGGATCTCACCGTCCCCAAACCCGATGACGCTGTAAAGGTCATCTACGACCAACAGCATACACACTCAAAAAAGCCTTACTCTGTTATCCAAAGAAAATAGGCGAGACATGCTTCGGCGCACAATAGGGCGAAGTTAAAAGAGAGGTAGTGCATCGGAAATTTTACGATCGAATTACGAAGTAATCTCCATCTCTCAGAAGACTTCAGTAAAATAACACTAGAGTGAGTGTGAGTTAACAGCGGATCAGGGGAGACAACATCGCGAGTGATAGCTTTAATATCGTAAGCGTCAATAGGTTATGGTAGCCGCTGCTATACTATGCTGCTTGTTTTTTTCCACCCTTATAAGATAAAAAAGGGCAACGGGGTCGCCTAGAACTTCTCCCTTCCTCCTTTTACACACCCCCTTATTTAGTCCTTAAGACTGACTCAGAAGCTGTCCGAAATGTCCTACTCATTAAAAACTCATGGGAATGATCCCTAGAACTTTAGTCATCGACAGAAACTCAAAACCGGTGATAATAATTTAAAAAAAATGATAAATCTATACTTATAATAAATCTGTAGAGAGGTCAATTCTGTACATGAAATATATTTTCAAAATAACTATCAGGGGGTGATTAGTGATCGAGACTGATGCCAAAAATGCAATCAGTAAAATTTTTGTCTGTCTGTCTGTCTGTCTGTGTGTATGTTCCTCATAGAAACAAAAACTACTCGACGGATTTTAGCCAAACTTGGTACAATTATTCTTCATACTCCTGGGCAGGCTATAGTATACTTTTCATCACGCTACAATCAATAGCAGCAGAGTAGTGAAGGGAAATGTTGAGAAAACGGGAGAAGTTACTCCATTTTTTAAGCTTCCGTCGCGTGTGCAGCCTTAATGGTTAAAGTTACATATAAATCATGTTTGACGAAAATATTCTACATAAAATTGTCTAAAAAATATCCCGCAACAGCATATGTCTATCTTTTATGGTTGACTCACAATAACACGTGTAAGTATATAAATAAAGTCATTGTTTATAGCACAAGCCTGAGAACAAAAACTACAGTTTACACTACAGCTCTACACCGAAGCGAAGCGAGGGCGGGCCACTAGTTAATAATAAAAACAGTACTATCAAAGACAAGGTAATTACAGAGAGTGGTAAGTGGAGCATTTCCTGTGACGGGCGCTCCAATTAGAGCGATATCCGACCTCAACCTATTTTTATAAGATCCAACGTCAATATAAGTTTCAAAGCCTCTAGTCCTACTAGCACATCTATTAGGACTGGCGGTCTTCGAACACAGTCCTAGTTCGGAGGAAATATCGATTCAGCACTAAATTCAAAAACACTTCTGTTTTCAACTGTATTGGCTGAAATTTTCTGCAAAAAACGAGAGCTTTAAAACGGGTGCGTCCTGGCCGGGGGCGTAGTTGGATAACAAAATTTTCACTTTAGGTGCGTCCCGGCCAGGGGCGTCGTGGAATCGGTGCGTAACGGCCGAACCCCCTAATTCGAGGAGAAAGAGACACCATGAGAATCAACAGATAGATGTGCGTGGACAATATTATTATTAGCTCTTATTAGCAGAGTCATCAACTATTGCATTTATTTAAGAAGTCGAGAATTTTCGCCAACAATTACATCTTTATTGGGCAATTAAGTTTGATGGCAAAATTTCTTTACGGTCCGCTTCCCGGCTGCCCATAAACATGTGCTTACTTAAATTCCGATCGACGTTTAACCGACAATTACCCATTTTTAAATCCACGCCTGTGTGATCACGCTCGGCTCGTGAAATCAATTAACTTTTGTGTAGTCAAAAACTGGTTTTGTTCAGAAAACACATCCGTAGCCAGATCTTTTGTGTGCAGGTCACCGATTTAAAATTATTAACTTAAAATTACTATTAATTATAATTTTTTTAAAGCATGTAACTGCTTGATGTTAAATCTAAAGAAAATATAACTAGAAAAAAATCCACGCGGACCAGGCAGCAGACGGGACTCGAACCCGCACCCCTCGCAATCCGGGCGAATGCACTGACCAATTAAAATAAGAATTAGTTTTAACATCAAGCAGTTACATGCTTAAAAAAAATTATAACTATAATTGCTATTTCTTCTTTCAAATGTTTGATACTTATAAAAGTATTCATTTGACATTGTGGGTTACCTATAATGCGAAGAGATGGCGCTGCCTTGCAGCTTAAGAATGGCTAGAGAAATTTCGACGCGGTCCGTGAGGGCTGCGGTAGCATAATTGGTCAGTGCATTCGCTCGGACTGCGAAGGGTGCGGGTTCGAGTCCCGTCTGCTGCCTGGTCCGCGTGGAATTTTTTCTATTTATATTTTCTTTAGATTTAAAATTACTTACAGATCTGTTACTGCAATTTATATCACCTCATGTTAAGTGTTAGTGGAGTCCAGTTGTGAAGGCTGCTGATTCGGCAGAAAATGTGCCGCTCCAGTGATCCTTTGGCGTCGTCATAATTGGCAATAATCGTTCGATGATACGATACGATGTTAAATCGTATGATAAAAATAAAGTACCTGTGCTCGTCTCTACAGAAAGCATTTATCTGCTAGATTTTCAAATCTAAACAAAGTTTTACTAAAAAATGATGTGGTGTCGTGGGACACCAGGTAGGAACGAAGTTCCTTCGGCTAATGTAGAATCGACACAAATTGCAAACTCGCTTGTGTATGCGACTGTCGCGCCTGCGCACGTCTCATTTAACGGTTTTATTCCACGCACTTTTTTCCACGGATTTTTTCTTACGGTTTTACTATCACATTTTTTTCAGTTCGGTCGCGCAGCAAAATCCCTATCCCTTCCAAGCCTGCCGTAAGGAACTTCGTTCCAAAAATTTAAAAAGTGGATTTTATTTCTAATAAAGTTTTCTTTACATTTAAGATATCATTATGATTGAACTCATCACGCAAGACGAGATAGCATCGTGTCTTCGTACGATCGCAACCATTAAGAAAGACGCCTCACCTTGCCGGCTCGAAAATGGCTAATCCACTTACTCACTATATGACACGAATAAAAACACTTAAACGAATGTTAATTCACTGTTAACACACTTTAAAGTATGTTAAAATCCTGCCAGAGTCAGGTCAAATGTCTAATATTCTATCCATT